CTGAAACACACATGACTTGCATGCACAGACACATACACACAGTGCATGCACAGACATACACACAGTCCCACAGTGCCTCAGTAATCAAAGAGCACAGCAGAGGGTTTATTTCTCTGGAGACTAGACCACTGCAGCTGCGCGCACACACACACACACACACACACACACACACACACACACACACACACACACACACACACATACATGCACACAAAACTATGTCCATAGTCCAATATGGAAACGCAAATGACTGAGTGGGGTACCGCCATGTGCTTGTGTGTGGTTGTTAATGGACAAAACTGTGTATATGCTGATGCGTATGTGTGTTTTATGGAGTTAGACAAGGCAGAATAGAAATAATACAGAACAGTACTGAGGATTGATATGATCAGTGTTAGTTCAGCTAAGAGGTTCAACACTGTGTGTGTGCATTTTGTCCTTTCAGAAGTAGTGTGTCTCTTGTTTTATATTCTATGCAAGTCTCGCCCCATAGTCCTGCTACTGCACACTCATTGTGTGTATGTATTTGTGTGTGTGTTTCTGTGTAATTGATTAGGCTACCGCTACCTTTGACCTCATACTCCCATTAAAAGTCTGACCCCAGCTGTGCTACAGTGAGCAGTGTGTGTTCGTGTGTGTGTATCAGCAGGTGACCAAAATGTGTTTTTTGTGAGCTGTTCAGTATAATGCCTTTTATGCCTGAAGCGCTTCAATGAAGTGTCTTATTATAGTGTTGTGTGTGTGTGTCTGTGTGAGAGAGAGCCTGGCCTCATACAATCACACACATATAGAGCAGTGGCGTGAAATGTGTTGTGATGTCCCCTCTATGGGAAGCTGGTCTCAGACTGCAGAGAAGACGCTCCCCTTCTCAGACCTGCTCAGACTCATTGTCCTGACATACACACACACACACACACTAAGCTCAACAATAACTTTCTTCTCACCCTTATGTATTCTTCTATATTGCCTTCACGTTTTTTTGCACTGTGTGTACCATTACTGCAAATGCTTATTTCTATAATTGGCTAATTGATTACTTCTTTGTGTCAACAAATTGTGGAAACTGCCCGAAGTAACATCTTCATTTAGCTTGTTTTATTCAATAGTCAAAGACACAAAAGATATTCAATAAACAAAGATATAAAACAAAGAAAAGCAGAAAACCGCACATTTGAGAAGCTGTATCCAGCAAATATTTGCCATTTGTGTTTGATAAATGTCTTAAACAGCCATCAAAACTGATGGCAATTAATTTTCCATCGATTAATTGAGTAATCGCTGCACCGCTAATCATCACGTCTGATTTCATGGTTGTACGTTTCTTAATTAATTCTCACAGATTGTGTTTTTACAGTGCAGTGTGACCAAGGCCATTTGGAGGAGAGGAGACTGTACAACAATGTGAGAGAGGGAGAACAATTGAAACTAACATGAGGTTCAGATATGAGATTATTTTACAGTGGCACTTTGGATTAGGCATGTTTAAATCTATTTAAATCCGCTGCAGAAATGATAAGGCCTTTTTGCTGTAAATTCCACAGCCAAAATATAGGTCATACAGAGCCGTGCAAAAGATGGAGAGTTGCCATGTGTATGTTTACATGTGTGCTGGAGTGTTGTATTCACTACAAAGAAAGCACACGCATGCACAAAAACCCCACCACCACCACCATCATCATCACCACCACTTTACCGTTTCCCAGGGCAACAAGAGCGAAATCTACCAAGAGGCATGTTGAGAATGAAGCAAGAGGAGAGGGGAGGACAGGAGGAGCAAGAAAAAGAGAGAAAGGGAGAATGAAAGAAAAGAGAGACAAGGCACATAAGACAACCCAATCTACCAAGACTTATTCAAATACAGCTGATAGAGGGAGGATGCTATTGGGGTCATCCCTGCTGTGACAGACACATATGTGTGTGTACAGAGAAAGAAATGGTAGATGTGACAATTGACTGATAAGCGTGCACACCAATAATAATAATAATAATAATAATAATAATAATAAAATGGGCGGCGCGGTGGTACAGTGGTTAGCGCTGTCGCCTCACAGCAAGAAGGCTGTGTGTTCAAAACCCTGGCCTTTCTGTGTGGAGTTTGCATGTTCTCCCCGTGTCCACATGGGTTCTTTCCGGGTGCTCCGGCTTCCTCCCACCCTCCAAAGACATGCAGGCTAGGTTAATTGGTGTCTCCAAATTGTCCTTAGGTGTGGATGTGAGTGGTTGTCTATGTGTGGCCCTGCGATGGACTGGCGACCTGTCCAGGGTGTATCCCCCTTTCGCCCGATGTCAGCTGGGATTGGCTCCAGCCCCCTGCAACCCTGTACGCAGGATAAGCGGTTGACGATGGATGGATAATAATAGTAATAATAATATTTATTTATATAGCACTTTTCAAAACCTTGTTACGAAGTGCTTTCACAAGCACAAAGACAATAAAACAGATATAAAACAGAATACTTTATATACTATAGCTCAAACTTGCACACATCCAAATAATTGGCCTGGGTGTGTATGATAGAATTACACCTGGTGTGTGCACATTGTTGCCTTAACAAACTACAGGGATGAAAGGAGTCATTTTAACAATGACACTATTGATGTAATGTAATGCTTTTGCATTTGCGTTGCAGTAAAAGTGAGATTAAGTACAACAACCAGTTGCAGAATTATATACACTTAAGTCTTATTGTGTAGCCTCATTTAGAGACATAGACCACTTTTCCATAACAAACATAGTGTATATTCACTTTGAAAGTCAGAAGCAAAGACAAATGACAGCCAAGGTAGTGTTACACTCATCCAATCAGGTGTTGGAAGGATGCTTAGTGAATGAGAGCATTGGCATCCATTTGATGTCCAGCCTACCTTAAATTACATATGTGCCAAGCCTGTTCAGCTTTGCCACACCACCACGAGTAAAGCGAAACTTGCTGGCTTTGCTACCTTACCCTCATTTTATTCGTTATTATGCGTTATCTTATCTCCTGCCTCTTTTCCCCCACTGCCCATTCTCCAAAATACTTTGTTCCTATTTTCATTATGGGCTCTGCTCTACACTGTCCTGTTCCTCTCAATCAAATCTGCCCCATCTTTTCTTTTCCTCCTCCTCTTGCTGAGCTCTGTTGGTGATATTGGGTTTTTGGGAGGGAGCACAGTGGCAGTGCTGGCATCTGTTCGAAGGACTGGCACACTGCCAGCCACTGAACATCACTCCGGCAACCAGAGTCACGCTGCTGGATTTATCTCCAACCAACCTGTCAGCTGATGCTCTTTGTGGGCGTAAGAGGAGTGGGCATAGCGTCAATGGCATTTGCACTGCCGAGTTGCCTACAGGAGATTTAAAAATGTGGGGGGGGGAGCCCCTTATGGGTGCTACAATGCTGAGAAAGTGAAACAGCTTTTTAGAAAGAAGCACCCAACTTCCAACAGACTGAACGTTGAAGCACTCAAAGAACAGAGAGTGCAAGTTGGGTACGAAGGGAGAGAGGGCACACAGTATGAGTATATAGCAAAGGGGAGTATAAGGCACAGGAAAAGGCGCAGGAGGAAAATGGTAGAGACTGAACAGGGGAAGAGATTGAGAGAGTGACAGAGGAGCCCAAGAGGAAACCATAACTGCATCTGAAGCTTACAGGATATGTAGCAAAAAAAGAAGAGAGGAGAATGAGACAGATCACATTTCTGCAACAAAGTGGCTCAGTTAGAAAGAACAGTTTGTCACCTTGTGGCTTAATAAGTTTCATTTTCACATTCTCTTTGAGCAACGCTAATACCAAACAACAAAGTAAACTACACCTGTTTAGAGGGGAGGAGAGCTCATTAAAATCAAACTTCACTTACATCTAGTATTTCCCACTAAATGTCCAATAATACCAATCAGTCTGCAGTCAATGAGACACGCTTGTAAATGCCACTGCATTTACTGAAGGAACTGCAAAGATATTCAGTGGCCACCATGGTCAGATGAGAATCATGGGTTTGGCGTGCCGGTCCCCAAGATAAGCGATGAATCAATTGGTAGCTAATATAACCTTTCAAGCAATTAGTACCATGACAAATGTATAAGATATGATTACTCGGCTGGTCGTCTGCAATTTCCTGAACGGTACACCGTCAGTCAGAGCGGGATTGCACACTTCGGTCTTTTTCACACATTCCTGAAGCACATGATACAATATTTGATTGACCGATTGTATATATGCAATTCTGTGTTTGAAACTCCAATTATAAAATCACCTGCCCACAGAAGCAGAGAGAGATGCAGCCAATTTGTGATCAGCCGTATCTAAGAGCCACAGTATTTGCATTTGAGCATGTTGCTTTACTCAGCAGTGAGATGTCGTGACACGCAACACTGTAATTTTATCACACTATTCCAGAAATGATACAATTTTTAAGCCATTATATATACAAAGCATTATGAGGCAGCATAACAGGGTGAACTGTGTCACTGATAACATGACTGACATCATCTCTACACAGTCACAGCAAGGTGAGTAATAATAATAATGATAATAATAATACGAAATGGCCTGCTCTGACCCAGTAGGGTATTGCAATCCTTGTGCCAGAGGTTTACTAAGAAAGTGAAACTAGTGAGAAATTTGTAAAATTCCTGTGACCATGTGACCTGACCAATGATCCAGGATCAGAACTTGCTGCACTGACGTCTGCACACTAACAAATGCTAGGAAGATTCCAGAGGGGCCCCAAGCAAAATTATAAGAAGCTTATTCTCAGTAGAACGTCATTCATCCAAAAGTTACAACATGAATTTAATCAGCTATCTACAGCATATAATGTTATCCAGTTATGTACCAGCAAAGTCTAGCAATGAATGTGTGTCAACTTATATAAAACAGCTGAAAATATTTGGGAGTCCTTGTCCTAGATTAAGACTTTTAAAGTACACGATTGCAGGTATATTCAAGGTCCATGGGGTAGCAAGCAAAGACATCATTACATTTATCCGCCAAAGTAACAGACTGTGGGCTACTTACGACAGTTCTCCTCGTCGCTGCTGTCTGAGCAATCATCATCATCATCACATCTCCACAGGGTTGGAATGCACCGTCCGTTCTTGCACTGAAACTGCCCAGTTTCACACTCAGACTCCGTATGAGTTCCTGTGTTAAAAAACAATTTGTCAATCGTTACTTTCATTCATTTAGTGGTCAGAATCACAATTTTAAAGAATATCAGATTAACAGAATATAAAATTTTAGAATACATTAAAGTGTATAAAAGTCGCTTTAAAGTAAATCAATTTAGAACTGTAGATACATGGTGGGGTAATTAGATGTATTTACAAGAAAGAGGCAGTGTAAGTACTTACTGACTACCAACTGTTTACATAGCTGTGTTTCCCCAGTTTTGGAGGTTAACTAATTTAATCATGTTTTCTGCATATAAAAAATTTCCAAAATAGCCTCAAATAGATCACATACATGCCTTTACTTAAGTAAAGTAGGTAATTAACTACATGTCCTGTGTATTAGGGGTTGCAAAGTGGTACATAAAATTGCTCTAAATCTTCCAATACTGTAGGTAGTTTTCCTACAACAGCTTGTTGTAATCTGTAACTCAGTAAGGTACTGTGTTTTTCTTAAAACCAACATTCCCACAAACGATCTACACTTTTGCTATCATAATATGCTTATAATGGGGCTTGCTTGTTTGTATGGATTCAATAGGCTTCGGTGCGACCATGACTGCCTACCACCAATGTCCTAGTGACACTTAAACACAAAGATCTTTTTAGTGAAATCTATTTAAGCGTTTTTCTCGGCTGCCACTAACGTTACAAGAACACCGAGCACAGACTATCGCAGCCTGTACTTTTATGTTGACATCACCACAACAGCCCGTTCTCGCTGTAACATCAGCCTACTGCATTCAGACACGTGTTGGGATCAAATATTTTCTTCCGCGTATTATCACCTCAAGCCACCAGTCATCATTCACTGCACATACAAAAGTGGCAGCACTTGTGAGGACGCAGGCTACATCCGAGACACAATCCGTTTCTCGGTAGGCAGCGATCTCCAAAGCGTTGCCGTCCGTGATGCGATGCAAATTCACCCCCTCGCTGAGACAAGTGTCTTACCTTTAACGCAACGGAGCTCCATGAGTAACAAATGTAATAGCACAAGCTTTCCGACTTCTGTCCACATCTTTAGATCCTGGGGTGTCAACGGTTGTGTTCATGCAAGTGAAAAAACAGTTAAGGATCCCCAACCTCTCACTCGCTCTGTATGATCCGCGTGCTGCCTCTGCTCCTGAGTGCGTGAGCGTGTGTGTTCAGCCTGGATCTCCTTTCTCTGCCTCTGCCTGCAATTTGAATGAGTGACGCTTATGGGCGGGATGGCAAGGGACAGTGCCTGCGGATAATAGGTAGGCACTACATCGAAACGGTTGTTAACCAAGGAAGTCATATCTGCACATTCTGTTGAGTCACGTACATCAAACTTAAAACGAAATGTATATAGCGTATCACCGCCTGCAAAGTATTGTTAAAAACAAGCTTTGTAATGGATAGTTAATAGTAGTAACTAGTACACATCGTTCACTTTCTCATTTAACTTAGACGAGAAGACAGATGCCAATGTCATATTTTTGTCCGTTAGCTAACGTTAAGGTTAAATATGAAGATACAGTCAGAAGGTGGCTAGCAAGGCGAAACCGCTAGACTGGCTCCGTTCGAAATTCACTTCTACATCTAAAGCTCACTAATTAACGTTAGCTCGTTAATTAACACCTGGACTTTAAGCATATTCAAATATAAATAACAAGTAAGTAAGTTCAGGAGGTATTGGTCCAGCTTTTTTTTTTTATTATACCATTAAGTTATACCTATGGTAATACCCATTAGGCCTAGAGTCTAGGCCTAATGGGTATTACCCTATTAGGTATAACTTTTGAGCTGGTGTTGCAGAGATTCACCTAGCTTCTAACTGTCTTCCTCCGAACGCCTACGCTGCTTACTCTGAAATGGCACCTAACTGAATAGCCCTGGAGCTTTCTTTACCTAAAGAACTACTACCTGAGTGAAGAAATAAATTCAGTGTCTACTACTTGTATTTTAAATGCAGTGATTATATATTTTATTGCAAAAGCAAGGGCAAGCATACAACTTATACTGATTAAAACTAACTAAAATGATAAAATGTTTAAAATGCAAAATCTGGTTATAATAGCTGAGCTTGAGTAATTTAGATGTCTTCTTTTTGGGGTGAAAGGGAGGGGAAGGAATCGTCCTGAAAAAGGAGATCTTTCCCTCTTTTGCGGATCTGTAGAATCTTGTAGAAACTTGAGACTTTGTGCAAAGCACTCAAAATGTGTCTAAAAGTCTTCAGTCCATGTTGCATTTGAACAAGGGAAACTTCGGATGGTTTGGGCGTGGTTATCCTCTGTAGCTCAATCTCTCGAAGTACACTGAAGAAAACTCTGAAGTATTCTCTAGTTGTTTTCTGTTCAAATCCCCAACTCTTGTCTTAGGCTCTTGGTCCAATGCGGTGATGATCTTGCTTCTGAGTTCAATGTCTTTGAGCTCTGCCGAGGAATAACACCGATCTATATCTGACTAGTTTATATAGTCTTTCTTCAAGTTGTCTTGGGGTGTAATTTTGTGTGCGTCAGGGTCAGGATATGTCCATCTTTCTTTGGTCCTTCTGCTTCTCCTTTTCTGTCCCTGTCTCTGCTGGTGACTCATAGTCATGATGTCTTCACCCAACATCAGCAACCTTTTCCACAGTTGTTTAACCTTTACCCTAATTCTTCTTACTTTCATATGAATTCTTTTACTGTGAAATTATCATTTTAATTTATTCATGTTAAATATCAATAACATATCCTGATTTTCAATCATCATCATTTTATGTTTACACAAAACATCTTTCTTTTAATCATTAAACATCAAGCTATATTGCTTATAGCATTGTTAAGCTCAGTGTTTTGCAGAAATATGTTCGACCCCAGTAGACCCTGTGTTTTGTCAGTAATCAGGATGCTTTCCTGGACTTGTTACAGCTGTTGTGTATTTCTTTGACATTGCCTGTCACATCATCTGCATGCGAACAGAAGAAACACCTACGGAACAGAAGTGGTGCCCTTTGTTTACAGTCGATAGAGCTAGAGCTAAATGAATGACCATTTTGCAAATAATCACTAAAACAGGCGGAGTATTTTTCCCTAACCAGTAAGTACACATTTCTTTAGCTTGACTATTAGATGTCAATTCAAGACTTTGGTATTATTGTTTGTATAATTTGTTGTCTTGCAGTTAGCTTAAGTTTAGCATAGTTCACTGGGCATTGTGCCCTTGAATGTGATTGTTGTCTTGTGGTTGCTATGTGCTGGCTACAGCATGTAACATTAACATATAACCATAGACTGTATATTGCATATAACATAAAATTGATGATGGTGTTAATGTTGTGAGCCTAACGTATCGTTTTGTGTTTTATAACGCATTTGTAAATGTTATGTGCAGCTTCTGACGGTATAAAAAACTGATTGGCTGACTGTAACCGTGCATGACAGCAAATTGTGAATACAGTCAGTGTCTGAACAGTCTGTCAGTGAGGCATAAATTTAGTCTTCAGCTCACTGAAGCACTGCATGATGAAATGGACCTCAGAAGAAAAACACCAGACCTACATTGTGTGGTAGTACAAGTATAGTAGAAACACACCTTTCATATTTAGCAAAGTGTTTTTAGCATCCTGTATCCTATTTAAATTCTGTTTTGGCCAGAGAGCCCATTTATTGTGGGCAACGGGACTGGGATGTGTGCCGAGCGAAGTTTCATATATGAAAAGGATGACCATGCAAATTAATGATTCTACACGTGCAACCAGATGGTACCAAAGTTTGTTTTTTCTGTAGCTGTGCTGCTGCTCAACCAGCATTCTCTATCTTTTTCTTGCTGTCTATTTTTAGACTCGTCATTTAATATATAAAGTTCATTCAAATGTCAGTAACATCAGAAATTGCCTTTGATAATCCAATTATATGTGTAAACAATAACACTAGCACTGCTGCTCTCATGCTGCAACAGGCCTTTGTATCTGTTGCTATTGGAAACAACAAACTATAAGAGAAACAGGGATACCATTGGGATACCATTGGGATACCAATTATCTTATATCCACTTTTGTTTCGCACATTCAAAGGCATTTAATAAGGTTTATTTTCAGTTCACATTGAATTACTGTAATAGTATTTCTTTAGATGAAAGGAATCCATAAGCGCTATGTGTCATTTGTTCACCGCGTTCATATGAGGCTGACAGATTCTCAGTTGTAAAACCATAATTTTTCCAATGACCGTCATTTAAAGGTGCAATGTGTAAGATATGGCCAGAATTTTAGTTTAACACATTAGTGGGTCAATGACATGACGCCTACATTTTCTGTCCAACTGTTTTTTTTTTCATTTTGAAAGCATAAAAACATTCCATATAAAAACAGAACCTCTCCCATATGTGCTCACTTTAACTTTAAAAAAAACATTAGTTCTTTGTAATTTTTCTGAGAATTGAAGTGTCAAAATGTCGTAGTGCGACCGTCCGACCATGATTGCTGTTTTGAAAACTTCTTTGAAATTACTTTAAATCTATTCAAAATTGTGTTTTGCCCTATTTGACATGATTTACAAAGTGTTATGTAGTCCTCTTCAAAATCGCAAAGCATCTGTATTTATATTTCCATAATAATACACAAGTGAACTTTGTCCGATGATGTCCATTTTATGAAATATCATGTGTGACCATCAACAAACGACCACTTTCGGAATTTTATGTTGAAATCCATTAGAAGACAGGAAGTTTAATAATATACCAATTTGCCAAGGACCCATTGAAATAGCAATTAGGTTTGTAACTCTCTCTCAAATCTGGAAAAATTAAAAATTGTAACAGCTGGTATGTAGTTGCCACTTTTGGATATCATGTGGTATGGCCTAAGAAAAACAATTAACATAAAGTTATTTCTACCAATATTTGTTTTGATAATAAATTTAATCGAGTCCTTTAGTAGGAAGCTTTCTTGTTTTGTTTAGGTGGCCTATTCTGTGCCTGTAAATTTTGACTAAATAGACTAATTAGATAGAAAATATCATGTGATGCGACCAAATATCATGTGGTGCGACCATTGCAGAGTGTTTTCCATGATAGGCAATTAAGTTTTTGTCCTTTTACATTCAATTGATGACTTTTACATATAAAGTACTTTTATTGTAGTATGATTTGGAATAGATTTTTCTGCAATTTGACACACTTTTTCTTATATTTCTGAAACAACAGATTGTTTTTAGTCATTGTACAATATGTTATGACATATCATATTTTGTATGTATTTATCTCTCTCCCAGCACTGTCAAATGTTCTTCTCCCTTAGAGTGTGTGTGTGAGTGTATGCAGGTAATAGAGAACAGGTGGGCACACTGGATTGGTCCTGCAGAGCTGATTGCTGCCTCCTGATTGGTCACCTGGATGACAGCAGCCATCTTAAACCCCACTGACAGGAACCCCCACCCCCACCCTGCCATTCCCAACCTGAGCCTGTATACTGTGTGTATTATCTGTTTCCATTGAGTAGAGAACCTGTGTAGTGAGCATATTAGACTTTGTAAGTAGCTTACCTTAGTAATGTTGATTATTGTCTTATGACAACCTTGTTTTGTTGGCTTTAGCTAGAGCCCTGCACGGGCCTCAAATCTAGGCCCAAGTCCAGCCCTGGCCCGAGACGCTCAGGCGATAGCCCGACCCGTGTCCGACAGCTCATCAAAATTATTAGCCCGAGTCCGAGCCCAAGCCCGAGCCTGTTTTTTGTTTTTTTGTTTTTTTCATTACATAGCAACAGCCTGCCCTATTTGCAGCCATTAAAATATGTCAGTTTTGTTAGTTATGTTTCTTTTCATTTATTTATTAAGTTAATTTAGACAAATGTATGGAGCATTTTGTTTTGACGACCAAGCAGCCGAGCCGACAGCGAGTAAAACATATATGTATATATATATAAAACACTTCAAGCATATCACACAGTTAGTTTAATAAATGTTTATTTATTAAACCACAGTTTAAAACAACATTTTTGAAATACTACAGTGAAGCAGGCAGGCTGCTCGCAACAGCACTCGCAAACGAAATGAGCAATAGCCTACAATCTAAACAAATTAAATTAAATAAATTAAAAACAATCTTGCAGGTTATCTTACCTTATACTGCACCAAAGAACATGGCCATTCTTTTTTCCAGTAGTTTCCAACAGTTAAACGAAAATAAAGTCCAATCAAAGGAAAAGTTAGAACAATCTCTTA